AGATCTTCCTCTTTGGTGAACTTCCCTCAAAACAGGCCTTGAATCTGATGGTATTAAGGTGCAAGCCTGCAGGAGCAACCGTATAGAATCCCCCTCCACACTCCCTTGAGTCCCCCCTCACAGAAACTTCTCCCTCTAAGACTTCACTCATTCCTCACTCCCTTTCAAGCTCTCTCTTCAAGTTCTCCAAAAAAGAATGAAGTTACAATGGCTGCCAAAGGCACTTACCAAGTGTCATGTCATACCTTAAATAAAAGATCACAAATGAGCTCATTAGTGCAAGTTGCTGACTTTATCGTCCAGGACGATACTAATATTGTCCTGTACGATCAGTGCAAAATAAGCCCAATCAGCCGGGACGATTTGAGATGATCAGAATAAATTTATTCATAATGTCCAGGACGATAATATATCATCCTGGACAATCAATAGAAATCGTGGAATATCATCCTAAACATCGCCCTGAAAAAGAGCTGTCAGATGTCCAATCATCTAGCGTATCAGCCCGGACGATCCTGAGATTGTCCAAGACAATTTGATCGTCCAATCAAGTCATAATTACTTACCTTAAATGCCAGATTAATTTTGGAAAAAATTTCCTGGATTGTCCTGGACGATATTTTATAGTTTTGGATGATCCCTTGGATGATGTCCAAAAATAAGTAATTTCTAAATAGATATGGCGGCAGATTTTTTCTGTTTTGAGCCTATCGTCTTGACCGATACAAAATCATCAAGGATGATATTTTTGCATAATGATGGCTGCTTTAATGAGGATGCCCTAATCAAGGTTTCTACTTTTTAACCGATCATTCAGGACGATATAAATATCATCACAGATGATGTTACCACAAATAGTAAACTCTAGGGAATAGTCAAAAAATCTTCCAAGTTACAAATCATTAGGAGCCACACCAAATACAATAAGCTCAAGAAAGGAAAAAGTGTATAAACTGAGTTAGACCTAGTCTACCCAATCTTGAGCTGGTTCCAAATTGCAGTCTGATCGTGTGGACTTGAAATGTCTGTAGATAAAGCAGTCGTAGAGGAATAAGAGTGTTTGCTATCATAAACCATGAAAACAGATTCATAATCTCCCCTTTTTTATGATGGCAAACATTATGATTTGAATTTGCAAATAGGAAACACTTTCTCCAAATCTCCCCCTCACTTAAATAAAACTTTAAAAATAGGGGAGATAAAAAAATTTTTTGTTATTTTTTAATTTTTTAAAAGAAAAAATACAAGAAAAATGACACAAATTCAACAGTACATTCTCCCCCTTTGACATTATCAAAAAGAGAGATGGCACAAATAAAATGATTAAAAGATAAAACAATATCTGATATAGTGAACAAAATAAATATTCTTAAAATGAGAACGTTACCTCTTAGTTTTAATCAAAAACTTATTAGAATTGTATTGACAACGTATAACCCATAAAAGGCTAGAAATCCAGAATTTAATAATCCAAACTCAAGTTCTTTAAAAAGGCTAAAAAACTTTGTAATCCAATATCTAAATCAAGGAATAAATTAGAAAAGGAAACACTAATTTTTCAAAACTCCTTTCATAAAATATATCTACATGATGATTAATGCACGAATTATTGAATCAGGAATTATGTTTTTCAAAATCAAGTATCGAAAGTATCAAGGGTTTTCTTAAGCTTTTAAGAAGTACAAGAATGGTAAGCATTAAATTTTATGGGCTCATTTTATGCCTCTTGTCAATTTGAATGGCGCTCTTTGCACATCTTTTGATTTTTTATACACTTTTATGTATATTTTTTAATTTTGCATATTTACACATCTTTTATTTTTTGCATCATTGGTCAATTTTTTTGAATATGCTACCTTTTTGAATTCTAAAAAACAAAAGTAAACCCATCCTATTGACAAAGCGAATTCTTGATTAAGAAAATTATAAGTTAGATTCAATAACTTATAAAAGATCCCTATGAGATAAATAAATTGTAGGGAGATAAAAAATTTTAGTTTCAAAGACTAATTTAAAATATGAAAAAGATTTTAAATCAAAAGTAGAGTAATCTCTTTTAGGAAACAGAGATTGAGAGTAAAAAACAAGAGTTTCCTTCCTTTGACTGTTTTTAGAGAAGTCAATCACAACTCACTAAAGATTTCAAGAAAAAAATAAGAAGTAGATTTTTCATTTTTAAAAAAGTGAATGTGTGTGTTGATGAGAGAAAAAAATTTACGAAAAAAAAAATCAAAGAATAAACAAAGACAAAAACAAGAAATAAAATTGAAACAAAATAAAAAAAGAAAATAACTAAAAATAAAACACAACACAAAAACACAAACAAGGCTTTTAACCATTATCTCTCTCCTGGTTCGATGCTTCAGAAACCAAGTCTGCCCAGGAGATTTTTTACTTTTCATTATTTCCCCAGTTTAAAATTTGCTTTGATTTATCATTTTCTTTCGCAGGAAGAATTCTTAAATTAGGGCACTGATTTTTCATATGTCCAGGCTTCCTACACCGAAAGAAAATAACGTTAGAAGAAATATTAACATCCTTACCATTTTTACCTTTATTCCTCTTTTGTTGATGCATATGCTTTGGTGAGCTTTTTGTTTTGCTTGACAAGTCATTGCATTCGTCACCAACAAAGCTATCTTTTCTGTATCTTCAGCTTTTAGAACAATTGTTTCACCTGCATCCACAAGTATTTGACCCAAACTTTGCTCGTAGGCAATGAGTGAGCCAATCAAATTTTCAATAGAATATTCATTCAAATCTTTTGATTCATAAATATCAATTACTTTAGCTTCAAACTTATCCATTAGACAATGAATAATTTGGTTAACTTTTTCAAAATTTGACAATTCTTTTACTAAAGTATGCAATGATGTTATAATTTGAATAAACCTAGTTATATGTCTCAGATCGTCTTATAAGGTTTCATGAAAATTAATTTATAATCATGCATTAACATATTCAACTTGGATTGCTTGATTTCACTAGTGCCTTCGTATATGGTGTGTAGTTTATCCCAAATTTCCTTACCGGTAGTGCACGTGGATACTAACATAAAATCTTCAGAATTTAAAGCACAGAAAAAATAATTTAATGATTTTGCATTCAATTGAGCATTGAGTTGTTCTTCCCTATTCCATTGATTAAAAGTAATATCAATTTTAATTCTATTTATAACATGTAATGGTAATATATAACTAGTTAAAATCATATGCCACATGCGAAAATTAATTGATTACAAAAAAAGTCATGCAAATTTTCCAAAAATCAAATGTAGTATTTTCAAACAAAGGTGGTCTGGTGATTGAATAACCTTCTGCAATATTATGATTTGAAAAATTAGCCATGGATCGAAATTCAAAAGCTTTTAAAAACTAGTTTATATGAATACTGCTCTGACACCACTTGATAGTTCGTTAGAGATGTTAGGCACTATGAACTAGCCCAAGGCTAATTAAAAGAGAGAGGTGAATTGGTATTTTAAGAATCTTTAAACCAAAGACAATAAACCAAAAACACCATAAAGAAATCAACGATGCAAAAATTAAATGTGGAAGTAATAAAGGAAAGAACACACTAGATTTATAGTGCTTCGATCAAAACTTAACCTACGTCCACTTCTTAGAGGCACCCTCTAAGTATTGCACTACAAAATGTCTCTCCTTCAGCCCCCACAGCTAGGCGGAGAAGCCCTTACAAAATCATTTCCATCTTCCCCGGTGCGGCAGAGTCATAGGGTCCTCTGACACCAAAGAGATCTTCTTCTTTGGTGAACTTCCCTTAAGAAAAGCCTTGAATACGACAGTATTATGGTGCAAGCCTACCAGAGCAACTGTGTGGAATCCCCCTCCACACTCCCTTGAGTCCCCCCTCACAGGATCTTGTCCCTCTCAGACTTCACCCATTCCTCACTCTCTTTCAAGCTCTCTCTACAAGTTCCCCTCAAAATAAATAAAGCTACAATGGATGCCAAAGGCATTTATCAATTGTCATGTCATAGCTTAAATAGAAGATCTCAAAATGAGCTCATTAATGCAAGTTGTTGACTTTATCGTCCAGGATGATACTAATATCTTCCTGTACGATCAGTACAAAATAAGCCCAATCAGTCGGGACAAATTGAGACGATCAGAAGAAATTTATTTATATCATCCAGGATGATAATATATCATTTTGGACGATCAGTACAAATCGTGGAATATCATCCTGAACATCGCCTTGAAAAGAGCATTCCGATGTCCAATCCTCCAACATATCGGCCCGGATGATTTGATCATCCAATCAAGTCATAATTGCTTTTCTTAATTTCCAGATTAATTTTGGAAAAAATGTTATGGATCATCATGGATGATATTTTATAGTCCTGGACGATCCCTTGGACGTTGTCCAAAAATAAGTAATTCCTAAATATATCTAGTGACAGATTCTTTCTATTTTGAGCCTATCGTCCTAGCTGATACAAAATCATCCAGAACGATGTTTTTGCATAATGATGTCTGCTTTAATGAGGATGCCCTAATCGGGGTTTCTTCTTTTGAACCGATCATCCAGGACGATATAAATATCATTCTAGGACGATGTTACCAAAAACAGTAAACTCTAGGGAACAGTCAGAAAATCTTCCAAGTTACAAATCATAAGGAGTCATACCAAATACAATAGACTTAGGAAAGGAAAATGGGTACAAAGTGACTCAGACCTAGTTTACCCAATCTTGAGCTGGTTCCAAATTGCAGTCTGATCGTGCGGACCTGAAATGCGAGTAGATAAAGCAGTCATGGAGGAATAAGAATGTTTTCTTTCATCAAAATCAGAAACCATGAAAATAGATCCGCAACAAAAACTAGTGTCATTTTCAACCTTGGCAAAATATTTAGTAGCAATATGCATCTCTTTAGTATCAGTTAAAGCAACGCTATTATAATTTAAAGTTGAAGGTGTCTTACTATCATTATGCTAATCCCTTAGGATATTAGGACATTCGTCCTCCATAAACATACCATCATACTCCAGATTATCAGTAGCCTTCATAACAAGTTCTTTAAAACATTTAGGAGGAAAATAATGACCCATAAAAACAAATTCACCATCCTCTAAGACCATCTCATTCCTTTCACCTTCAATAATAGCCAATTGAGTGTCAACATTAGTTCCCTTCACATATTCCTAAACATTTAAAGGATTAGAAATCATAATATCAATGGAATCATACACATTGTGATTAATAATGTAAGAAAGAGATGTTGCATCATTAAAATCCTTTTTAGTTTCTAAATTAGGCAAAGCATGGGCCACAATCTTCTCATAATCAATAGTTAGAATATTTAAAGTGTTAAAAATAACTCCTTGATCATGAGTCAAAATGACATTATTGGAAATAACATTGGTAACAACTGGAAGAGGTTTTTTCTCAGTACCCAGCAATGGTTTCTCAATTAGTTGAGAGAGATTAGAGGTAATATCCACCAAGGGAATTGAAATAAGTTTAGTAGCTTCAGTAGCTTCCTCATCCACCTCCCCATTTATTTATTTCAAAGAATTCTTAGCAATACTAATATGAGGGTGTTTCTAAAAATAGTCGTTCATAACATGCCGTTCATTTTACAGAAAGAACGAAATATAGGTAAATTCTCAAACACAATTTTTTAGAAATATCCCTTGACTTCGGATCCAATCCATATTTCACTTGGTAGTAACATACTTAGTTGTTTTTAATTTATGGTTGTAATAGGGTTTTATTTTTTTCTTTAATGCAATTTGCATTTTCTTAAAAAAAAAAAGAATTATTATTTGAATAGTTGCTATTTGAATGAGTTATAT